TTCTGGACTATCACGGTTCTTTTAACAATTGTAGTATTATGTATTAATCATGGTCACAGTTCTAAAAGATCCGTGATAGCTTAAGCATCATGGTGAAAGAGGGTGTATTATGCCATGGGTGAGAGATTTTCGTGAAGGGTATCACAATATCCGAGATAGTCAAGGTGATCATCATCTAAGTACCGTGATGGTTTAAATGCTACCCCACTGTAACGGTCCTAATAGGATCATGATAACTTAAGCTAGGGGTGGCAACGGGTCGAGTATGGGTTGGGTCCAGGTTTTGGACCCAGACCGAGTTCAAAAGTTAGACCCACACCCATATCCATCGGGCTTGGGTTTGGTCGGATCCATTGTCACCCTCACTATAAGCTTCCTTTTTTGTAGCCTACAATGGTGAAAAACAGAGAATTGATTTTTGAGGGGTCGGTGATTAGAGAGAGAGTGAGCGAGACATTCGAAGCCCAAAGAGAGAGCTATGTCTCCAAGAAATTGAGAGAGAAAAAATTACAAAGAGGGAGGATAGCGAAGGGGTTTGGCCACTTAGGTAACCAAGGGAAGTCCAAAAGTATTGAAACGATTTTAGGGTTGGGGCTTTGGCCTTTGGGTAAACTAAAAATTCGGGTAGAGGTACCCGTTAGGTCGAGTATAGCAGGACCCGTACCTAGACCCAAGACCATCCAGGTATCTTTTATTAGACCTTGACCCTACCCATGGGTCCAAAACTTGGACCTATACCCAAACCTGTATCGGGTATACCCGGCAGGTATGGGCCGAGTCCGGGTCCATTGTCACCCCTAACTTAAGCTCCACACTAACAACATTTGAACCCTAAATGACCATCATGGTTCTTGATTGATAGTGATGCCTTCACGGATCCAAGACCACCGTGAAGGGCATAGTGGAGAAAAAGGGTGAGGATGGTGTTTAGGAAATTTTGAAATTTATTTCTAATAATAATAAAAAAGTACATATGTTTTTTTATAATTTTTCAGTATTTATATAATTCTAAATATTAAATTACAAAAAATAAAAAATAGCAAATTTTGAGGGGGAGGAGGTTAGCTGGAGAGCACGCGAGATGTAAAGTGTTTTGGTGTGTGATGAGAGAGGTTGGTTTCTCTCTCACGAGAATCCTGACCACCCTCTCTCTGTCTTTCACACACTCAGGGGCCACAAATTTCTTGTGGGCCTTGTCAACCGCCCCTCTCTCTCTCTACAAATTTCCAGTGGGCACTGTCAACCGCCACACTCTTTCTCTTAACTCTATAATTGATTTCATTTTCTTTTCTTTCTTTTTTTTTTTTTCATTCGAGTTTGGTGTTAGTTTCCATTTTCCATGTTTGGTTTTTGCTGTTCGTCATGCGGCGGTGAGTTTGGTGTATCACGGGGATGCAACTCACCAAAACGATCCATTTTTCCTTAAAAATGATAAAAAAATGCCCTCGGATCGTTCCGCTTTATATTTGGTACCGGTGTTGGTTTATTTGATCGAATTTAATAGTAAGAAAAATATTGTTTGGTGCGATTTCAGGCGATTTTAAAATCTGGATTGACTGGGCGAACCGGTAATATGGGAAATAGGGGTGCCAATTGGTTTGGGTTGCTTCCGAGTGGCCCTCACAGGGTAGGTCTAGGGCCAAATGAGCAGGGTTGAGTCCAGCTTGGACCCTATGAGGTTGGGTTGGTTCTTATTCTTTTTTATTTCTAGATCCGGACCAGATCCGACCCCCATCTGAGTCAGGTCCATTTCAAAGTTAGACCTAGTAAGGTCAAGTCTTGGTCGGGGTCGACCCAACCCCACCACCCTTGTTGGGAAATCGGTCCAGATCAGCCACTCTCCAATCTGGGTCGACGACTCACTGATTTGGATAAGCAGTCAAATTGATTCTCTAGGGTGAGAAACAGTCCATAAAAAAAGATTAAAATAAAACATAATAATAATAATAAATATAAAGTGTGGGAACCAGCCGATTCAGTTGGGCCAGACCACTCAATTCAAGAATAAGACCGCCGGCTACCTGGCATGAATTGAGGATCCAACATGGACTCAGACCCAGTTCTCGACTCATACTAAGAACCTGTCCGTCCTATACCAATTCTCAATCCAGATCGGTGGCTTTGGGAACACGAACCCGGACAATATTAGGGGATGAATCACTCTCTCTCATCTATAAGAGAGAAAGAGAGGTGGTATTTAACAATAAAACTAGTGAAAGTCTACAGCTGACAAGAAACCAAACCTATAACATTGTGAGCTTTTCAATAGAATGAAAGCTTACCTGCCGAGAACATGGGAAACTTTCCCCATGAATTACATAGAAACACATAGAGAGAGAAAACCCAGACAAAGTAGAGAGAGAGAACCAAAACCCTAAATCCTCCAGTCCATCAAAAAACCCACCATGGATTTTGGGTGCTTTCTCTATCTCTCTAGCTAGCTCTGAATGATTCCAACAATTTCAGACCCAAACAAACCCCCTCAAAAGACCCACAATCAGAACCGTTATATTTCCAGTTCTGGGCTCACATACAACAAACCACACTGACGTACTCCACTGCCGAAACCCTAACCCTAGAACCCTACACTCATAGCCTCTCTGACCCTATTCAATCTACTGTCATTTCATAAAACCCCATACCTCTTTTTCTTCTTTTTTTTTCCGAACATTTCAATTAGATTTAAATTCTAACCACTTTTTCTTAATGTGATTTAAAATTTGAACATAGTTTTTACAAGTTCTAATAAATTCATTAAAGAAGTAGTAGCTTGGTTTTCTCCCACCATTTTTAAGAGAGAGAGATGGGTGCGGATTTTATAGAGTCGAGGCTCTAAACATTCAAAGTAAACAGCACCTTCAAATAGTGTCGAGAAATGTGGTTTTAATACTGGAAATCTTTTTGATAGCCTTAAAATATATTTTCATTTTTAATTATAAAACTTAAAGTTTCAAAAATAATATAAATGGATTAGATCTATGAAAACTTGAAAATTTTGAAAATTGATGGTAAAAAACTACATTACAAGATGTACTATTTTCAAAACTTGAAATCTATTTTTTTCTCATGTCCATACATCTTGATGTTGAGATGATCAATTTGAGGATATTTGAGCATCAAAACAACGTCTTCCAATGAAATTTTGTAGGTATGCTCTAATTTGATTGTTTAGAGCCTGGGCTCTATATAAATTTTTTCCTTTAAATTTTGACCATAATTTTTGCAAGTTTTAATCAATTCATTAAAGAAGCACTAGTCGGTTTTTTTCTAACATTTATAAAAGAGAGAGAGATGGCGATAGATTGAGAGAGAGTGAGAGAGAGAGGGGATAAACATAGTTTAAGAAAATTAAGAATAAACAAAAATAGGTGCATGCATGTGAACACGCAGTAGGGTACGTGGAGTGCATGCTAATCTGAAAATGGAAATAGTATGTAGAGATTGAAGTGCAAGAGAGAAAATGAAATTAATTTGTAGAGAGAGAGAGAGTGATACAAGAGAGAAAACAGTGAAAATATGAGAGAGAGGAGAGAAGTGAATGAGAGGTGGTAAGACTTGTGCAAGAGAAAGAGAGGAGAGAGAAATAATGGTAACAACGATAAAAAAGAGAGAGTGGTGTTAGAGAGAGAAACAAGAGTGAGAGCAAGTTAGAGAGAGAGAGAGAGAGTAATTGAAGGCAACGTATCTTGAGAGTGAGATTCTCGTTCAGAAGAGGGCTGCATCTCGCACGTGTGAAGCGGGGCCTTGGTGTTTTATAGGGACGTAACAGTGAGAGAGAGAGTGGAGAGAGAAAGAGAATAGAGAGAGAGAGCTCTGAGGAGGCATGCCTGCTTTTGCTGCTGCTACGGCTGCCCTACTGACCCTATATTAGCTGTTAACTCCTGCTTCTCTCTGCCATGGCTGCTCTATTACCATCACCCCTACTATTATTCTTATTATTGTTTTATCATTTCAAACGTTGATTTTGATTACTTTCTCACTCTTCTTTCTCTCTCATCCTTATTTTCTTCCCTCCCCTCTTAACAGCATCTACTTTATCACCCTCTCTCTCTAGAATATTGATAACTCTCTCTTTCTTCTCTCTCTAGAATGTAGATAACGCTTTATCTTTCGATTTCTTTCTTCTCTCTCTAAAATATAGATAAAGAAATAGTGGGTACTGTTGTACTCAGGCGGCTTCCATTCTGCTTCTCTTTTCTCCTCTTCTTTGTGGCCTTTTCTTTCTCTCTCCTCTCTCTCTCTTCTTTTTATGTGGTGTTTTTTATCAGGTCAGTTCAGAGTCCAGGCTCTGATCCTTTTGTTTTTTATTTCATTTGTCTTGAGAGAAGGAGAATATTTTATTATTTAAAGTGTCCATATGAATGCTTGGAAAGTATATATTTGTTCTTTGTATCTACTCACCTATTCTTCTCCTTCTTATAGCCTTAGAACCATTGTCTGTCTCTTTTCTTTATACTTTGGTCTTCTGCCTTTTCCTTCTCTCTCTTTCCAAAACCCTAACATTTTCTCTCTCTAGATTTTAGTCTCATATCTCTTTCTCTCTCTAAATTTGAAATAGATTTACCTGCAACCCCCGCTCCATTACTAAATCATTACCCAACATTTTATCCCCTTTTTCCTTCTTAAATATTCACTCTCTTACACACAAGAACCAGTGATTTAGACTCTTCACCTCTCTCTCTAGACCCTTGTCATAAATCAGTGATCCTCGTTGTTAGCACACACTCTTCATCTCTCTCTATCTTTCTCTCTCATAAATCAGTGATCCTCGTTGTGGCCGACCAAGGAATTGTGATTTTCATTGTCAGTTTTACCAAAAAGAGAAACCAAGAACCAATTCCGAAACCCTACAATTCCCCACAGATCAGAGACAGAAGATTGCAGTTACACAGATCTGGAATTAGACAGGAGGAACCAAAGCCATGCCCAATTCTTCTGCTTCTTCTTCTTCATGGAATAGGCATTAGATTTGAGGTCTTCTTCCTTTAAGGTTTCCTCAGTGGGAACACTGCTACTACTGAAAGCAGCAGCACATGCTCAGCACAAATCCTCCACTGTCTTCTTCGAACTGCTCTCTCTCTCTCTCCCTCT